CGATTAAAGACACAGAAAATGTAAATTTTCAGTTACCACGGACTCTTAAGCTAAGGAAATAACTATCCTTTGGCGGTCATTTTCTCACTATTTTACCCCTGAAAACAGGTGACCCCCAACTCCTTCATTCGCAAATATCTCGACTTGTATTCAAGATTAATGAATACTATTTTCATCCAAATAAAGACAAGTGAACAAGCTTTAATATGATACCAATAACTGTGCATGCCCAAAACTTGACGAGACCCTGATTCCACCACGCTGCCTCACAAATGGGTATTTCTTCCATAGACAGAAAGACAAATGAACACGATTTAAGATGATACCAATAAGTCCACAAGCCCAAAAATTGACGAGCGCCTGATTCCACCGCGTCATGACACAAATGTGGGTACCTGTGATCGGGTGTGTCCATAATGAACACCGTGACCATGGTCTGGAACGCCGCAGGGAACCCGAACAAACACACCAGGAAGTACTGGAGCTTCTGGTAACGACCGAAGCCGCCAATCTCTTCGATGACGTCATCAAACCTCATGGTTTTGGCTCACTTAGGCTACTTTCAACGTCACTTTGACAAGATGGGGTTTCTGGAAAAAGAAACAACAACATAACAGCAAAACATTATATATTATACTGGTGATCAAAAGAAATGCACCATTTTTGATTGCGTAAAAACATAGATATACAATGTATAGTCTTCTGAGTCGTTAGGCTTTTCTTTTTACACGAGCAACACTTTGTAGTCTAAAATTAAAAGTTCTAGAAATAAAATTTGGGTGCATCAATTCGTGTTCACACCATCAACACCAAAAAAAATTAATTAATTTTAAAAAATGAGAATTTTCATTCCGCCCCCCCCCTCTCCCCCGACCACGTGGCTGATCTATTTTCTTCTATTCTGTGTTTTTTAATTAAGTTTAGGTCTTTACTTATCAAAAGCAGTTGATTGTTGTCAACCACGAAAGATTGTAGTTCAACCCAGCATCAAAGAAACTAAACTATCTGCATGCTCCACGTGTTTCTGCTGTTGCCAGGACATTCAACAGTTGACTCCCTGGTCTTTGCCCGTCATACATCACTTCATACCGTCGCGGAGCTGAGAAATCCACTTAAGTCCAGAATTTTGAGAATTTTTGATTTTTACATCTTCCCAAACTCTATCAAAGATATACCGTTCAATATCACCAAATGCAGTTTAATGCTATGGTCAAGTTATGTAATTTTCTCGCTTTTCGTAATTCCTGATAGGAACAACGCAACAAAAACTAGTTTTGGTTTGTTTTTATTTTGTCTTTGGGGTAAAAAGTACCCAACATGGACTTCAGTGGATCGCTTTCGACGCCGACGAAATTCTCTAAAGAAGTAACTTGCGGTATGTTAAGTTCTCTGAGTAAGTTATTTTAAGTAATAATCCTGGGCTAATTGTTTTATACCCTAAGCCTAAAATGGTGATTTTAACAAATATGTGGTATTGTTTTCATGAGCTCAAGAAATTACTCATCCAAAATGAAATTCTGAATGTTGAAAAAAAGAAGGAAAAACAGATAACGTATACATATACAATTTCTATCAGAATGAAACAGTATAATTTTCTCTCCAGAATTTTTTCTTTGAGAGAAAAGTTCATTTGCCCACAATATTGAAGTACATACGCTAGAGGGATTAATACATTTCAACAGCTTGATTACCACTTTTAAGTACATGTACTAACCGTATCATAGAGTTTGGCCTCTCGTGCCGAGTTCGATCAAAATCCTAAGCGCAGCCACTCCAGGCGAAGGCCTTCACGGTCTGAGCTCGCTACGACATCTGAACAAAGCAGCTGGCTTGTCTGCCCTCGTCGCTTTCTTTTCCGGAGCCGCCCACCCTAACCCACCCCTACCCCACCCATCCCACCCCAACCATACCCAAACCCACCCCAATTTTACCTCAATCCTCCCCCCACCCATCTCAACCCACCGCACCCATCCCAACCTACAACCCAACATTAACCAACCCACCTTAACCATACCATGCCCACCCTCAACCCACACTAACCATACTCCACAAATCCCACCCCTATCCTACCCCACACTTCCCAACTCAACCTTATCCCCCCCTCCCCCCCTCCGCTGGGATCCCAATCTACAATATCACACCCTCAAACATTACATGTCTGTGAATCGTTATGATAGTGAAAGTTAGTTTATTAATCGGGGGAGGGTGGGGATTTGGGGGCGGGGGG